TAAGAATTCTGTACTTAGATCAGATGTGTATACATGCATTTGACCCAAGCACTCAGTAAACAGAGGGAAGCAGATCTCTGTGCATCTAAGGCTAGCCTCTTCCATATATCTGAGTTCAGACCAGCCAGGGATACATAGAGAGAACCTGTCTCAAAATGGATGGATGGATGGATGGATGGATGGATGGATGGAATTTTAAAATTCTGCGCTTAGAGCCATAGAAGTGTACACCTCAGCACTCAGGAAGAGGTAGGAAGCTTGTGATTTTAAGACTGAGGTTTAGTTGTGAAATAACTCAGTTGAGAGAGTGTTAGACTGAAGACTGAGGTTTATATGAGGACAACCTATCTCAAAAAGAAAAAAAAAAACCTAAGCAAACAGAAAAGAACTTTCACTAAGCTGGTTGTAAAACCATGAATCAAATAGAATCCATTAATTAAAGGCTGATAAATAGATTCTTTGTAATATAGTGTATGCACTGTGTGCCTGCGACAAACCAGAAGAGAATAGGAGATGACTAATTTGAATCCCTCATCATCATAGTGAAGTCTCTTAAAGGTCTGATGAGATTCCTAAAAATTTTAATGGAGACTTCAGTATGTAAAAAGATGGAGGTGGATCTTTATGAAACTGACACATAGAACAACTGACACTTCTGCTGGGCTGTGGTGACCTGGAGGGTCTGCGTTCAAAGCCATACTGCTCTACAGGTGACGTTCCAGGACATCCAGGGCTACACAGAGAAACTCTTATCTCGAAAACAAAACCACAGAAGAAGAATAACTGAAACTTGGAATAGGGCAGAGCAAAGGACCCATCAGAATAGCAAACACTCATGCTCCAATTACGGTACACAAATTAAAGGCAGCAGCTCAGGCCCGATTACTTGAGCAATACCAGCCAAGGGGAGTGCTGGATACACACCCGTAGGGATCAGTGGCAGCTGAAAGAAAAATCCAACAGCAAAGGGCTCAGCATCTCCATCTATAGAGCAGGGGAGGATAAAGACTATTAGAGGAACTATTTAGATTTTTTAAAATGATTTATTGCATTGGTGTTTTATCTGCATATACATCTGTGTGTGAGTGTCAGATCTCCTAGAACTGATGTTATAGACAGTTGTGAGTTGGTGCTGGGAATTGAACCCCAGTCCTCTAGAATAGCAACCCATGAGCTTAACTGCTGAGCCATCTCTTCAACCCCAGATCAATCTTTCCTTTCCTTCCTTTCTTCCTTTCTTCCTTCCTTCCTTCCTTCCTTCCTTCCTTCCTTCCTTCCTTCCTTCCTTCCTTCTCTTTCTAACAGGTTCTTACTGTATAGCACTGACTGGCCTGCACTTGTAGAGATCCACCTGTCTCTAACTACTAGGACTAAAACCTTTTGCCCCACAGCAAGCTCTGTTTAGAATTTTTAATTTTCTTAAAAACAAGGTACAAATAAAGAAATAAAGCTTTTATAAGTTTTTTTTTACTTACTTATTTGTGTGTATGTGGCAGAGAACAATTTACAAGTCAGTTTTCTCTTTTCCATCATATGGGTTCCAGGGATCGAGCCCAGACTTGGCAGTAAGCAACCTGACCCACTGAACCATTCCACCAGCCCACTCAACAGCATCTTTTTAATGAATAAAAGTAGAATCAAAATAATGTGATTTAGGAATGAAGTAAAATGGAAAGATCTGCATTGAAATAGGCATGAGACAAATAACTAGAAAATAGCATTGCAATTGTGTAGGTTGTTGTTCCTCCAATTCCCTAAACAGTGAGAATGGGATGGGAATGCAAGCAGAGGGAGGTTACAGAGTTCCTGCAGAGAAAAGTCCTCTGCCTGTAGATTTAGTCTGTGGCAGGGCTTTTTTGCTCCCCACCGCACCCCAGATTTGGCACTTGAAGACAGAGCACCCAGATAATTCATCATTTGTTGTTGGCTGGTTTTCAATACTGGAAGTTGACCCTAGAGCTTTGCACAGCATTCTACTACTAAATTATGTTCCATAGTTCTTTTTTTTTACGTTTTGAGACTCGGTCTCACTGGGTTGCCCATGCTGGCCTGGGTCTCACGACTGTCCTGCCCCAGCCCCACTGATGTGCTGGGATTGCAGAGGCCTGCACTACTAAGCGGTTAAGTCAGCTTCTTCACCAGAAAGAATAAAAAAATTAGAATGACCTCAAATCAACTCAAACAGTGTAGAAAAGGTTCACTAGAGAAATTTTAACATACCAATTTCATGATATAAAAGAATATATATATATATATATATATATAGAAATCTTAAGACAACAGGAAAGTGATTGCCTTAAGATTTCTATAGCTGTGATAAGCATCATGATTTAAAGCAATGTGGGAAGGAAAGGGTTTATTTCTTACAGCTTGTAATCCATCATCCAGGGAAGTCAGGATATGAATACAAGGAAGGAACCTGAGAGGCAGGACCTGAAGCAGAGACCATGGAGGGGTGCTGCTTACTGGCTTGCTCGGCCTGCTTTCTTATACAACCCAGTACTACCTGCCCAGGAGCGGTACTGCCAACAATGGGCTGATCCCTCCCATATCAATTATTACTCAAGAAAATGCCCTCACAGACTTGCCTACAGGCCAATGTTATGGAGGCATTTTTTTTTTTCAATTAAGAGTCTCTCTTGGGGCTGGAGAGATGGCTCAGTGGTTGAGAGCACAGGCTGCTCTTCCAGAGGTCCTGAGTTCAGTTCCCAGCAACCACATGGTGCCTCACAACCATCTGAAATGAGATCTGACGCCCTATTCTGGCATGCAGGCATACATGGAGGCAGAATATTGTATACATAATAAAAATAAATAAATCTTAAAAAAATAAATAATAAAAAAAGAGTCTCTCTTTCCAGATATGTCTAGGTTCATGTCAAGTTGACAAAACCACCCAGCATATGTGTTCCTTATTGTCTCACCAAAGCAGTCTGTGCTATCAGGTCTTTCAGTTTCTCAATATCCTCCCGGCTTTGTAGTCCAAGCCAGTTCCAGCTGTGCATATCATGAGCCATACAGGCCTGTAATTTCAGCAAGATCTAAAGTTCAAGAACAGCCCAGGCAAGACCCTGCCTCAAAAATAAAACACAAAGTAAATTTCTATTCTCTAGTGAAATATGCTAAGCCTATTGGCAATCCATGTGTTTTGTTGGCCTCTGTTGTAGTAGAGTTGGCTGTAGACCCAGTAGTAGTCAAGGCAGATCCAGAGCTGTTTCTGGAAGACTCGGGTCATTGGAGTGGGGCCAGATGCCGGCCTGTCCAGTGAAGCTGCCTTGTGGCTCCTCACCAGGTGTCAGCAAGAATGAATGATGTCTTCTGCAATTGTTCCTACACTAGCAACATAAAACAGGTCTTTAGGCTGATTTTCTTTTCTTTTAACTGATTACTAAGACCACCTTTGGTTAAGCTAGAATACAAAAGATTGCATCCTCTCCAGCACCAAGCATGTGCTCACACTGCAGAGGCTGGAGCAACTGCCGGCTTACTTGTCAGGAACGTGAACTACAGATCATCTTAAAAGTAGTTTTACTTGTTGGCATGTTTTTGTAATTATTTTTAGTAGCATATAAGTAAAAAGCACACATTAAATTCTGTGTTCAATTGCTTTTATATGTGTTTTAAAACTAGCTTCTCTTGAAGCACTCACAGCTTAAAGATGAGTAAAGTTCAAGTGCTTTAACACTTATGAAATAGCAGCAGTAGCTGCATCTGTCTTTAACCTTTTAGGGTAGGTTAAAAAAAATAGCTTCCTTCTATGTCAAAAGAACCAGTTTAGAAAATATTAAATGTAATTTTGTGTGTGTGTGTGTGTGTACACCTACACATAAACTTGGAAAAGTATAAATTTGTTTGAATAAACTATAAATCTTTTATCTGGACATGGTGGCAAACACCTTTAATCCCAGCACTTCAGGGGCGGCAGAGGTAAGTGGATTTCCATGATACAAGGCCACTCTGATCCACGTGACAAGTTCAAGGCCAGCCATGGCTGAGTTATAAGACCCAATCTCAAAAAAACTAAAAGCAAATCTATCTTAAGGAATAGAATAAGTCTAGGATAAATGAAAAGAATAACATGTGTTTTGTATAAAGGTGTATCTTAACCCAATTTGTGCTGCTATCACAGAATCCCACAGACTGGAGAATTTAAAATATTAAAATTGAAAGAGGGGCTGATAATGGCTTCATCCAGTAAAATGCTTGCCACACAAGCATGTGGACCTTAGTTTGGGTCCTCAGCACCTACATAGAAGGCTGAGTGTATTAGTGTGTGCCCTCAATTTAGCACTGAGAAGGTGAAGGAAGCAGAGACTTTCTTGGCTAACCATGTATAGTGGTTTAAATGAGAGTGGCTCCCATAGATTCATGTTTGGTCCCCAGTTGGTGGAACTGTTGGAAGGATTAGGAAGTGTGACCTTATTGAAGGACCTATGCATTAGGGTTAGTTGGTTGGGTTTTTTTTTTTTTTTAAGACAGGGTCTCTATGTAGCCTTGGCTGTATTGTAATTCAAAAGCCAACAACATTACCAGTTAGTTCTCTCTTCCTTATGCTTGTTTGTTAGATGTAAGCTCTCAATGACTTCTCTAGTGCCATTCCTGCCTACCTGCTGCCATGTTCCCTGCCATGATGGTCATAGACTCTAATCCTCTGGAACTGTGAGCCTCCAGATTAAATGTTTTATAAGTTGCCGTGGTCATAGTGTCTTGTCACAGCAATAGAAAAAAAAAAAAAAGCTAAGACACCATTTAGTCAAATTGGTGAGCTCAGATTCAGTGAGAGACCTTGCTTCAAAAATAAGGTGAAGAGAGCTAGTAAGATGGCTCAGCAGGCAAAGGTGTGCAAGCTTGGTGGCCCTGAGTTCTGTCCCTGACCCAGATGGTGGGTGCAGAGAACTGATTCCAGAGTGCTCTGACTTCACATGCACAGCACTACTGGCCCTCTTCCGCTTATACCTCATGCACACACGCAGCAAGGAAATCTTAAAAATGAAGATTGAGTGCTCACTTCAGCAGCATATGTACTAAAATTGGAGCAATACAGAGAAGATTAGCATGGTTTCTGTGTAAAGATGAGCTGGAAATTTGTGGATCATTCCATATTTTTTAAGAATAAATAAAAAATAAGATGGATTGATAGAAAGACACCAGACATCATTGATCTCTGGCCTCTGCACACATATCCATGCACACACACCTATATTCCTGGAGCTTGTGCCACCCTATCTAGCTGAACATTGAGCTCCAGTGAGGGAGCCTGTTTCATAAAATAAGGTGAAGAACATTTAAGGAACACACAGACACTTAAAATGTGCACATATATACCACACACACAAAATTAACAAATTTATCTCATAAAGGCCTTCCTGCTGCCTTGTAATATGGTGAAAATACAAAGAAAAACCAGTCAGTGTGGCCAAACCCACGATATCTATTCATGAGGAATAGCCCCGTGGTTGTGTACCTCTCAGAGGTCTTGCTTATAATACTATCACAACAGAAAATAACTGTAACATAAATTTGGAAGGAGACAAGCATTCAGACTTTAACAAAACCTGTTCTTATGTAAACTATACATTTTGATACTCTTTTCAGTCTCCTTCCCAAGAGAACATTTTAGAACCCAAGGACTTGATCAATGGCTCAGAGGTTAAGAGCACTTAACTACTCTCTCAGAGGACCTGGGCTCAGTTCCCAGTATCCACTTCAGGTGGATATTTAATTCCAGCTCCAGGGAATCCAATGCCTCTTGTCTCCTCAGGCACCTGTACTAATGTACACATGCAGACACACCTATACACAATAAGAAAATTGATCTTTAAAATAAACTTACCTGGGAAAAAAAGGTATAGGGAAATTTTGAAGTATTTAAAAAAAAACTGTTCCACACACTGAGACAATGGGGATGTTCTATCGGGAACTCACCAAGGCCAGCTGGCCCGGGTCTGAAAAAGCCTGGGATAAAACCGGACTCGCTGAACATAGCGAACAATGAAGACTACTGAGAACTCAAGAGCAATGGCAATGGGTTTTTGATCCTACTGCACGTACTGGCTTTGTGGGAGCCTAGGCAGTTTGGATGCTCACCTTACTAGACCTGGATGGAGGTGGGTGGTCCTTGGACTTCCCACAGGGCAGGGAACCCTGATTGCTCTTTGGGCTGATGAGGGAGGGGGACTTGATTGGGGGAAGGGGAGGGAAATGGGAGGCGGTGGCTGGGAAGAGACAGAAATCTTTAATAAATAAATAAATAAATAAATAAAATGTAAACGAAAAACAGCCTACAGAATGGCTTTGCAGCCCCAAGCAATTTTCTGCTGCTGTGTAAGAATGCAACTTAGTTGTAAGAGTGCTTGCCTAGCATGCTTAAGGTTCTCATATATTAAATCAGGTCTTCTTGAGCCAGTTTGGCTATTTGTATAACAATAAGTCCATTAATCTAAATTAGGAAATTAATACTCAAATTCTCATTAATTTTTAAAGATTTCAGCATAAAAAATCTTATCTTTTTATTTGTTTAGTTGACTCAAACCATTTTTTTTTTAGTTTATTTATTTTGGGGTTTCGCTTTATTTCTTCTGACTTACATGATTTGTTCTTCTAAAGTTGGGTTATCCAGTTCATTTTCAGTATTTTTCTGTTCTTTTAAAATTGATAATGTAAAGGTTATGTTCCAATTTCTGGCTATTGAAATGAACATGTTGAGCAAGTGTCTTTGGTAGGACATATATATTTGGTATATATATACCTGAGAGTGGTATAGCTGATTCTGGAGGTAGGTCAATTCTTATCTTCTTGAGGAACCACCACACTGAATTCTGTAGAGGCTGTACAAGTTTGCAGTTCCACCAGCGGTGAATGAGTGTTTCCCTTACTCCACATCCTTGCCAGCATGAGCTGTCACTTGTGTCATTGATCTTAGCCATTCTGATAGGTGTAAGATGAAATTTCAAAGTAGTTTTGATTTGAATTTCCCTAAGGATGTTGAACATTTATTTTAAGTGTTTCTCAGCTATTTGAGTTTCCTCTTTTAAGAATGTTCTATTTAGATCTGATCTGGACCCCATTTTTTAATTGAGTTGTTTGTTTTCTTGATATCCAGTTTTGATCAAGTTCTTTATATATTCTGGTATTAGCCCTCCGTCATATATTTAATTGCTAAAATCTTTTCCCATTCTGTAGATTGCCATCTTGTTCAAATGGTAGTGTTCTTTCCCATGCAGAAGCTTTTCAGTTTCATTTATTGTTGATCTTCACACCTGTGCTTCAGAAAGTCTTTACTGTGCCAATACATTGAAGGCTATTCCTCATTTTCTCTTCTGAAGGTTCAGTGTATCTGGTTTTATGTTGAGGTCTTTGATTCATTTGCAGTTAAGTTTTATCCAGGGTGAGAAGTATGGGTCTATTTGGATTCTTCTACATCCAGCACCATTTGTTGAAGTTGCTGCCTTTTTCCTGTATGTATTTCTAGCTTCTTTACCAAAAAGCAGGTGTCCATAGGTGTGAGGATTTATGTCTGGGTCTTTAATTCCATTAATCAGTGTGTTTGTTTTTGTGCCAGTACCATGCTGTTTTTATTACTGTATCTCTGTAGTACAGTTTGAGGTAAGGGATGGTGATACTTCCAGCAGTTATTTTATTATTCAGGATTGTTTTAGTTATTCTTGTTTTGTGTGTGTGTCCATATAAAACTGAAAATTGTCCTGTCGAGACTATTAATGAAATTATGGATTTTACGTATGTTGAACCATCCCTGCATCTCTGGGATGAAGCCACTTGATCACGGTGGATGATCTTTTTGATATGTTCTTGGATTCAGTTTGCAAGTATTTTATTGAGAATTTTTGCATCTGTATTCAAAAGGGAAATTGATCTTTAATTTTTTAAATCTTTATGTGGGTTGGGTATCAGTGTAATTGTGGCCTCATAAAATGAATTGGGCAAAGTTTCTTCTGTTTCTATTTTGTGAAATAATTTGAGAAGTATTGGCATTAATTCTTTGAAAGACTGATAAAATTCGGAACTAAAGCCATCTGGCCCTTTCGTTTGTTTGTTTTGTAGACTTTTAATTACTACTTCTAAATAGAAGTGATAAATAGAGTTATAGATGTGTTTGAATTGTGCATCTGATCTTGATTTAACTTGGGTAGGTGGTATGTATATATCAAGAAAATTATCCATTTCTTTTAAATTTTCCAGTTCAGAGTACAGGATTTTAAAGTCTGCCCTTAGGATTCTCTGGATTTCCTTGGTGTCTGTTAATTTACTTCTCTTTGCACCTTTTAGTTAATTTGCCTAAGGGTTTGTCAATTTTACTGATGATCTCAAAGAACCCTCTCTTTGCTTCATTGATTCTTAGTATTGTTTTTATCGTTGTTGTTTCTATTTTATTGATTTTGGCCCTGAGGTTGATATTTATTGCTATCTACTCCTTTTGGGTATGATTTCTTTTTTTAGTTCTAGAGCATTCAAGTGTGCTTTTATTAGTATGAATTAAATCTGTCCTTTTTTGTAAGTAGGCACCTAGTATTTTGAACTTGCCTTGGAGAATTACCTTTATTTTCTCCCACAAGTCTGGGTATGTTGTATATTCATTTTCATTCAGTTCTAGAAATTTTTAATTTCCTTCTTTTTTTAAATATTTATTTATTGTGTATATCATAGTCTTCCTACATGCTTGCCTGCAGGCCAGAAGAGGGCATTAGGTCTCATTACAGATGGTTGTAAGCCATGTGGTTGCTGGGAATTGAACTTAGGACCTTTAAACTAGCAGGTGGTGCTCTTAACCACTGAGCCATCTCTCCAGCCCTTAATTTCCTTCTTAATTTATGTCTTGATCCAGTTTTCATTCAGTGGTGAATTGTTCAGTTTCCAGTTTTTGTAAGCTTTTTCTTGTTTTTGTTGTTGATATCCAGCTTTGGTCTGTGGTGATCAGAGAGGATGCAGGATGTTAGTTCAGTTTTCTTGTATCTGTTGAGTCTTGACTTTGTGTCTAAGTATATGCTCAATTTTGGAGAAAGTTTCATGAACTGCTGCTAAGAAGGAAGTATTTTTTTTTTTTTACTGTTTCAATGGAGTGTTCTTTGAATATCTGCTGGGTTCATTTGGTTTATGACATCATTTAGCTCCATTTAGCTTTTTCTGTTTAGTTTTTGTCTGGATGACCTGTTTATTGGTGAGACTGGAGTATTGAAGTCACTCACTATCGTTGTGTGTGAGTTAATATATGATTTAAGCTGTGGTTGTGTTTCTTATGAACATAAGTGCCCTTGTATTTGGTGCATAGAAGTTAAAAACTGCAATGTCTTCTTGGTGGATTTTTCATTTGAGTAAGTAGCGTCCTTCCCTATCTCTTCTGATTATTTTGGTTTGAAGTCTATTTTGTCAGACATTAAGATGACTACGCCAACTTGCTTCTTAGGTCCATTTGCTTGGAATACCTTCTTTCATTCCTTTAGTCTTAGGTAATATCTATCCTTGATGTGAAAGTGTGTTTCTTGTATGCAGCTGAAGGATGGATCCTGTTTTCTATCCAGTCTTTTATTGTGTGTTTTTTGTTGTAGGGGATACTGAGACCATTGGTGTTGAGAGTTACCAATGAGCAGTGTAGGCAGTTTTCCTGTCCTGCAGTCAACTCTCAAATAAACACACTGAGGTTTATATTAATTATAAATGCTCAGCCCATAGCTCAAGCTTATTACTAACAATCTCTTATATTTTAAGTCAACCCATATTTCTTATTTATGTTCTGCCTCATGGCAGTACCTTTATTAACATTTGTCTCCTGCTCCCTCTGGGTCTACCTGACAACTCCATACTCCACCCTTCTTCCTCACAGGTTCTCAGTTTGACTTTCCTGCCTAACCTTATTCTGTTCAGTTATTGACCAGTCAGCTTGTTTATTAAACCAATTATAGTGACACATATTTGCACATTGTAAAGGAATATTCCACAATATTTTTCCAATTTTGTCTAAATAAAAAAGAAAAATTTTAACATTAACATAGTAAAATTATATACAACAAAAACAGTTATCAAGTAAGAATTATAGTTATAATATCCAGTCTATTTGTATTTAGCAAAATTAGAGAAAATATTTTACTATCTACCTTTCATAGTAAATCTAAAGTTTTACATATAATATACCTTTTTATCATGGCTAAGGAAAACTATAACTATCTGGTCTTCAACTCTATCAAGGACCTCAGAAGGGCAAAATGTTACCTGTTGTCAGGTTCATCAGACTGCCTAGACAGTCACCCAGAGTTCTTCTGTATTATTTGGGTATACAACTCTGGCCTACAGGCCTAGCATATCTGACAGACTTTCCTGAGAAGTGAGGAATTTTGAAGGACTTTCCTACCTTCTCTTGGCAAAGTTAAGCAGTCACCTTTCTTGCATCCTGTTGGTTCCATTTGGACATTAAGTGTCAGCAATTGGGGCAAGGGCATTTTCTTTGCTTTCTTTTGCCATAAAGAAAGCAAATTCCATATAGAGTTTCTTCAATGCCCATTATTTTCTCTGAAGTAAATCGGTGCTGCCAGGATTATACATGTCTCACTTTCATGAAAAGCCTTAAGTTATTAAACATTAAGTACCATATTCTGTAGGTCTTTGAAGTGTTTGAAGACCATCTATTTATCTAAGTATATTTGTTTATGATCTTGAAAACATCTAACATGACTACAGGTTTGACTGTTAATCTATACATTACATTTTAAATGAGTTACATAAGCACAATAACTCAAACAAGAATAGACACATACATACAATATAACAAAATTAACTTTAAATTTGTATTAGTATACAAAAATCTATACCAGGGTAAAATATTTAAGTCAAGTAGTTGCTTTCATGGTTTAAAAGTAGATTCAATAATCTACCATTCTATCCTATCATTTCTATATTTCCCTTTTTCTTTTCAGAGAGAGATCTTTGAATCTAATCTTTTTTGTTTAGCTTTTTTCCTGACCATTACCAATAACAACTTTTAACCACCCCCCCTTAAATGATAACATACAACAATAACCAGTATTTTGGGAATGTGGACATTGTTTTCTCTAAACTGCTTCCTGTTGTCTGGGGGTGCTGATAATCTTTGAGGGAACCTTGTGAAAATCGGGATAATCATTAGATCTTGATTAGAGTATTCTGTGAGGCTGGATCATCTCAGTCAGTACCCTTGAAGCTGTTTTGGATGCTGGATCACCTGGTCCATCCATTTTTATTGGTGTTTGGTACCCTTGTTCTGAAAAAAATATATAAAATTTTAAAGGTAACATACATATTTGTGTATATATAAATATAAATATAGACTGCATTCTACACAAGTCAGCCAAAGATGATTTTTTAAAAGAACTTTCTTTACCCCTTTTCTTTTTTTTCTCCTGATTCTACACATATTTTTTTAAACACATTAACCCATTTAGAGGTTTTTTTTTTCCTGTCTGAATCTGTCTTTATTGTGTGTCTGTAACCTTTTCTATTTTCATGATCAAAACCCTAAACCCTCCATAAAGCATGCTGGTAGAGCACTTAAACCCACAGACAGCAGCTGGGAGAAGCTTTTCTATACCATGGCCCACGTGGAGAGACTGTGGGAACCTGACACTCGGCTTAACTCACGGAGGTTGGTGACTGACTCCATTTTGTATGCAGCTGTTGGGAGACACATCTCTGCATTGTGGCTGGCTCCATTTTTGTGTATTTAGAACTTTTTAAAAGCTTTTCTAGGTCTTATGTGGATCTATACCAGATGGTGGGCACCATTTGTAGGAAGAGGTTTTTTTGACCCCCAGTTACTCTCAAATAAACACATTTGGCCAATAACTCAGGCTTACTACTATCTCTTACATTTTAAGTTAACCCATATTTCTTATTTACGCTCTGCCACATGACAGAACCTTTATTAACATGGCACATTCATCTCCTGCTCCCTCTGCATCCTCCTGGCAACTCCATACTCCATCCTCCTTCCTCCCAGCCTTCTCAGTTTGACTCTCCTGCCTAACCTTATTCTGTTCAGCTGTTGATCAGTCAGCTCATTTATTAAACCAATCATTGTGCATATATTCACGCATTGTAAAGAAATATTCCACGGCAGAGCAGTATTCATTGACTCCTGTTATTTTGTGGTGATTGTGTGTGTGTTTCCCCTTTTTTGATTTACTGGTCTACAATTATTTATTCCTTGTGTTTTCTTGGGTGTGGATAACCTTTAGGTTGAAGTTTTCCTTCTATCATCTTATAGGGCTGAATTTATAGATAGATATTGCTTAAATTTGGTTTTATCTTTAAATGTCTTGTTTTCCCTATCTATTGTGATTGAAAGTTTGGCTAGGTATAGTAGTCTGGGATGGCATCTGTGGTCTCAGCTTATAAAACATCTTTTTGCTCTACATCAGGCTTTAAAGTCTACAATGAGAAGTTAGGTGTTATTCTAATAGGTCTACCTTTATATCCCTTGCAGATTTTAATATTCTTTCTTTGTTCTGTATAGTTACTGGTTTTGATTATTGTGTGCCAAGGGAATTTCTTTTCTCATCTGTTCTATTTTCTGTGCCTTTGCCCTGGGTTGTTTCTAGTCCTAATCTTCATTTGGTCTTTTCATAGTGTCTCCAATTTCCTGGATGTTTTGTGCCAATATATTTTTAGATGTAACATTTTCTTTGACCAAGGTATCCATTTCTTCTATCATGTTTTCAATGCTTGGGATTCTCTCTTCCATCTCTTGTATTCTGTTGGTGAGGCTTGTCGTGAAATTCCTGTTCAAGTTCCTAATTTTTCTTTTCCGGATTTTCTTCAATTTATGCTTTCTTTTTCTTTTCTTTTTCTTTCTTTCTTCCCTTTCTCCCTTCTTTCTTCCTTCCTTTTCCCTCCAAGACAGAGTTTCTTTGTGAAACAGTCCTGTTGTCTTGGAACTCACTCACTATGTAGACCAGGTTGGCCTTGAACTCAAAGAGAGCCGCCTGTCTCTGCCTCCTGAGTGCTGGGATAGCACATGGGTGTTTTGGCTTTTTTTTTTATTGATTCTACTTTAAGCTCTTTGTTATACTCATTTCTTCCTACTTTTTGTTCATCTATTTATTAATTTCCTCTTTAAGATCCTCTATCATATTTATAAAGGCTGTTAAGGTCCTTGTCCTGTGCCTCAACTGTGTTGCAGTTTTCGAAGTATTACAGTACTTACTACTATAGTAAGATTGCCGGACTGTAGTGGAGACATATTGTCTTGACTGTTATTGTGTTTTTATGGTGGTGTCTAGGCATCTGGGTTTGTGATGATTGTAACTCTAGGGCTAATATCTGGTCTTTGTTGTGTCGGTGTTTTGTTCCTTGGTTTCTGTTTCCTCTCTGCTTCTTAGAGTGTGGTGACTGTGTGATGCCTGGTAGGAAATTCTTCTGGGACCCTGGATGTGGTCTCTGGGTGTTCCAGGTAAAATGTGTTTCTAGGACTTGGGAATGGGGATGGGCTTGGGGAGTGTTTCAAGGGGTCCACAGGAGGAAAGTAAGCAAGGTGTTCCAGTAGAGTCTGTTTAGTCCCCTAGGAATAGGGGCAGAGTGAAGAGAGGCCACAGCAGGTAGTCTGCTGTAGAGCTGGGGGGTGAGACTGGGGAACTGGATTTGTAGAAGAGGGAGAGTGAAGATCAGCAGTTAGCCTGCTTGCTGCTGTGACTGGCTTGGCTCGCAGTTTCCCAGGGAAAGCCTGGTGTAATTAGGGACTGGGATAAAGAGATGAATGGGGGAAGGAAGCCTGGAGGGGAAGATCTGTGTGATCTGCTGGAGATAGGGGAGGAGCATGCAAAGAGGGAAGCCTGAGCTGAAGATCTCTTACAGAGCTGGGTGAGACTGAGGGATTGGGTTTGGAGGAGAGGGGGTAAAGGTGAAGATCTGAAGTTAGCTTACTTGCTTCCCTGACTGGTGGGTTCCCAGAGAATTTAGTCCACCTTTTTATGACAAACTAGGAATCCATTATAGGTGACAAACCACAGTTGTCATCTGTTCATCTCAATAGACATCTAGGCTCTTTCACTTTAGAGCAACAATGAATAGTGCTACTAAAAGTACACAAGAATTTGTTTTCAGATCTGTGGGATATATTACATGATAATCTTATTTAACTTTTCATTTTGTTTTCTTTTTGTAGTCTCTCACTGTGTATCTCTGGAACTCCTTAGGTAGAACCCCTTGTAGACCAAGCTGGCCTTGAACTCACAGAAATCTACCTGCCTCTGCTTCTGAGCATTACCAGGCCCAACTCTTTAACTTTTTGAGAAACAACCAACCTGTAACATTTGATGCTATATAATTATTTAATCTTCTTTTTCTGAGAAATATGTGTTTTATTGTTATTGTGCATGTCGTTTGCCACAGTGCAGAGTCCATTTTCTCCCCTTCACATGGGCTCTGAGGATGGAACTTAGGTTGTCAAGAGTGCCACATTACCAGCCCACATGAGTTATTTTTCATTATATTTCATATATTACCATTATAAGTACTGGTAAATTATGAGGTAAATATTGCTACATAAAGGGGTGAGTTATTAAGTAAATAATCTGAGTAGTTTTAATATATTTTTTTCTTTTTGCACTTTGAGGCTTTTGTGTTGATTAATTACTGGCATTATTTCATGAAGTGCCTTATGAATGAATGAGAGCTGATATGCTTTATGTTTTTAATTTAATAAAATTGTTAAATATTTGGTGTGGTGAAGGAAGGACAAGAATATTAATACTTTAGCTTATTTTAGTTCAGGTCAAGCATTAGAAAACTTTTACCTGTTCATGAATAAATAAATAATGCTATTTTGGTTCTAAGGGAGTTTGTTTTGGGGTATTTGGAGGTTTGGTATTTTATTTTTACAGTCTTGCTATATAGCTTTAGCTAACTTCAAACTCATAGCAGTCCTCTCGCCTCCTCCCAAGGGCTGGGATTACAGACATGTACCACCATGCTTGTCCACACCTAATTCTTTTCCATTCTTTCTTTCCCACAGTTCATCCATGAGCTCAGATTTCCCACATTACAACTTCAGGATGCCTAATATTGGATTCCAGAATCTGCCTCTCAACATATATATTGTGGTCTTTGGCACTGCTGTATTTGTCTTCATCCTTAGTTTACTCTTCTGTTGCTACTTGATTAGGTAATCAATTTTTATTATTTTCTGATATTTCAGAATATGTTAAACAGTTACTTCTACCATAAGGTCAAAATCTGTGTTTTGGGGCCCGTTTTCTAAGGCCTTAGTGGCTTAGCATTTTAACTGTCTGTGGTGTTCAGTAACCCACTGCTCTGCAATCTTCCATCCTACCGCGCATGAGGGGTTTTACTCTGCAGTAGAAAATGCTCTTCAATAGTTCTTCCACAGTATTAGCATCCAAATACACTTACGTCATCATCTCCAAGATTTAATCTTTCTCTTTTTAAATTTTGTTTTGAGACAGAGCCTCAATCTCTGCATTCTTGACTGGTCTGGTACCCATTATGTAAACCAGGCTGGCCTTGAACTCACAGAGATCTACCTATTTCTGCCTCTAGATTCCTGATTTAGTCTACTAGAAGTTGCTCTTGTAGAAAGCGTTTTTGCATCACTGTCATCTGAAGTAATCATGGGTCAGAAGATAATGTCTTAAGACAAAAGCTATGCCTTAAAAAGCCTCTTGCAGCATTTAGTCCCAGCACTTGGCGGGATCTCTGTGAGTTCAAGGCCAGCCTGGTCTGCACAGGGAGTTCCGGGACGGGCTCCAAAGCTACAGAAAAACCCTGTCTGGAAAAACAACAACAACAACAAAGCCTCTTGCATCTAGTCTTTTAAGACTTTAAACACCTCTCTGTTGAAAAGTAGTTGAGTATTCATGTAATTATTTATCTTCATAACACATTAAACACTCCACACTACTAACATGGGATACAGAGACATGGGACAGAAGAGGTTGCCTCAGGTGAGGTGTTAGATTTTTGTCACTAATGATTCATGCCTGCCTGAGTTGTTATTATCTGAACACATTTACCTTTTACATTGTTAAATAGAACCTAATTTTCAAATCCAAAACTAACTTTAAAAATTCTGTATAAGGCCGGGCGGTGGTGGCGCAGGCCTTTAATCCCAGCAGAGGCAGGCGGATCTTTGGGAGTTCAAGGCCAGCCTGGTCTACAAGAGCTAGTTCTGGGACAGGCACCAAAGCTACAGAGAAACCCTGTCTCAAAAAAAAACAAAACAAAAAAAAAATCTGTATAAGCCAAGTTTAGTAGCAAATACTTGTAATCTTCGCACTTGCGAAGTAGAGCCAACATGATCAAGAGTTTAAAGTCAACTAAGCTACATAGCAAGACCCTCTATCAAAAAACAACATTAAAAATATTCCATGAAACTCTGCATGGTAGCGCATGCCTTTAAACCCAGCACTGGAGAGGCAGAGGTAGGTGGATCTCTGTGAGTTTGAGGCCAGCATGGTTTACATATTTAGAGTTAGAAAACATGGAATTAACGGGTAAGCGTATTTGTGTGGGGTTGGGTTTTTGTTGTTTTGAGACAGGATCTTACTCTGTATCTAAGGCTAGCCTTAACTCTTGCTTCTCTTGTCTCAGCCTTCTAAGTGCAGGGTAGTTAGTTACAGGTATGAGCCACCTAGCTGTAGTTTCTGATAATCTGACATGTGATTTTTACATTTATCGTGGCAAGTCTTTCCTGGCTGGACATGATTCTCATGCCTGTAATTATGGCACTTTGAAGGCTAAGGCCAACTTCAGCTCCATAGTGAGTTCCAGGCTCACCTGGGATAAAGTAATACTTTGTCTCAAAAAATTTTTTTTAAAAGAAGAATCAGGTGGTTCACACATACTCGGGATGATGAAGCAAGTCAGTTCTGAGTTCAAAGTTATCCTGACCCTGTCTCAAAGACAAGGTAGAGGGTATGGTAAAACTTGGAGGGGCAAGGGTTTGAAACAACTTCTGCATAGCTTAGGATTCTAATCATGGATAGATAAATGCAAAATTAAAACTCAAGTGCCCCCTCCCCACTTTCAGTACTAGGCTAGACAAGCATTCTGTCATTAAGCTATAGTCTGGCCCCAATATACCTGAGCAACAAATAATGATCATATTGAATTTTAGCCCATAGAGCATAGATGAAAATAAATTGTGTAAATTAAGGGGTTTTGCTTTTGTTTTCAGACAGGGTCTTACTTTGCAGCCTTGACTAGCCTGAAGTTTGCTGTATAGATCAGACTGACTGCAAGTTCAGAAATCTGCCTACCTTTGCCTCCCAAGTGCTGGTATTAAAATTGGGTGCTGCCATAATTGTCTGCCTTCACTTTTACATGTGAATTCCAATTAAATATACAAAGAATTAGGACCACTGGGCAAGGAAGGTGGATGCTAATACTGGAAAGAAGCTTTGTGAAAAATAAGATACAGACATGATTTTAACTTATGTCCCCAAGATTGTGTCACAAAGGGTACGGTAGTGATTTTTATGGCTGACAATACCTGACCCGACCAATTTTAGTTAAGTGTCAAAGGTTTGAACAGCTAATAAGATGGCATGATAGCAGGGGCACCGGAGACTTTAGGTGTAAAATGTGATCCCAAGTATTTCTAAGGAAAGGGCATGAGTGAAAAACCTGTGGAATTCCAATAGGGCCTGTTGTTAATAGTTGGCCAATGTCCTGTTGGTATTATGCCATGTAATTTTCTAGTTATGGTAACTATACTATGGTTCTATAACTTTAAGCGTTGGGAAATAAGAAGAAAAGTATATGTGAGCTGAGCATAGTGGTTCAGGATCCTAAGGCAGGAAGTTTTAAGTTCAAAGCCTGTCTGACTACATAGTAATACTCTGTCTCAAATCAAAAATATAAAAATATAAAAAAAGGACTCTGCACCTTTTGTGTTTTAGAATAAAAAGGTTTTTTATGTGCATGTACCTACATGAATTTATGTGCACCATATGTGTGCAGATGCCTGTGGACACCAAATAGTGTTGGAACTGAAATTATAATCAGTGTGAGCCATCTGATGTCTGTCTCTTTAGGCATGTCCATTGGAGGCCTCTCCCTAGCTTCTGGTGACAACCAAGCCATCCTTATTTCCTTGGCTTGTGGATGCTGTTTAGCCTCTGCTCCGCAATCACTTGGTCACCTGGCCCCTTTCCTGCCTCTGCCCATTGACTAAGGATACCAGTCACACCAGATTCAGGATTCGGAGTTTTTGAGGGATACCATTGGAACCAGTATGCAAGGACAGGAAGATGGAACACTGGGGCAAGGTGCAAAGTCTCTGAGAAAATCCATATGTTGCATATGCAGTTATATGCAGATACCAGACATGTAACTACTGCATTTATGGAGAAAGGAGGATCTTGATAAATGTTAGAAAGTCAGTAAATCCAGTATAGGGATAAAAAAGAATCTAGAACCCTAACTCACAACACATAAACTAGGTTCAGGTGGATCTCAGCCCTAAATAGAGTAGGTAAAATAGTACATTGCTTTTTTTTTTTTATTTAGAATGTGGGATATTGTCTTGAGCCAAGAATGACCTTGAACTTTTGAGCCTTCTACCACTTTGCTGGGTTGTCTTCAGACATTGACTTCAGGAGAATTAACTTCTTAATCTTTGGCAGACATTTCTGTAACTAGACACAAAAAAAAATCTCAGGGACTATAGTTTGGAAGAAACTAAACACAAAGGAGGGTACACCAAGCAATGCATGTATGAATCTAAAAACAGACACAGCTAATCTACATTGATCCGTGATAAAAGCCCAAGTCGGGCAAGTTTTAAGGGTGGACACTAATTGGGAGGGACAATTTCAGAAGCTTTGGGAATCTCGGGAATAACCTATATCTTGATGCGGATGATAATTATTCCAGCAGATGCATTTTTTTTTAAATTTCTGAATTGTGTACTTAGTTTTTGCACTTGATTGTCTTAAATTTTTTAATTAAGAATTAGACAAATTAACTTAAATAAGGAGACTTTCCTTAACACACAAAATTGTTATCTTCATTGAATATCTGCTATCTTGAGACTCTTGTTTTGTTGAGATTTTACTAGAACTTACAGTGGGTGCTATCCCGTGGTTCACTGGGTACTTTCTCCAAAATCTCAATATCACACTGCTCATTGTGTCTTTTAGGCTAAGACATCAAGCACACAAAGAATTTTATGCCTACAAGCAGGTGAGAAATTTAATTATAATTAGCTTTTATTGTGTATTTCAGTAAACTTTGAGACTATGAGTCTATAGTTTAAACTGAGATTCACTTAATATGGGTTCATCTTAGCTTTTCATTTGTCAGTTTGCAATACAGAATAGATCAATTTGATTTTCTCATGATCTTTTATTAGTATTATTTGAAGCTATAAAATTTAAATTATGAACAAAATGACAGAGTTTCAGCCAATATTTGCTTAAGTAAATGCTGCCATCTGTAACCCTTCAAATTACCTTCAATAGAGTGCACATCCCTCTGAGTGGATCTTTCTCCTTCATGAAGAATACATCAGAAGCTCAGAGACCAGATGTTCTGTGTTCTCTTCCTCCAGAACCCATGTTTTTATAATCTCAGCTTGCTTTTGTTGGTAGTGGCAGGTTTTGTTGTTTTGAAATAGAATCTTACTGTGTGCCTAAGTTTGACCTGGAACGTATTTTGTAGTCCAGGCTGGCCTTGAACTTGAAGCAATCCCTGTAGTGGCTTAGCCTTGCTGGCATTGATGTCATATTTTAGGGTTATGCATTCTTCTGTTTGATTTTTGTGGAAGTCTTAAAAATGATCTCATTGAAGTGAACTCATTTGTACACCATTCATGACTACCCTGTGTTTCTCTCCAGCAACATGTGGAGAGAACTTCTAAAATTAACTTTACATTTTAATCTTTTATGAATTACTAATTCTCATCAGCCAGTGCTGTTTTACTGAATTGTGGTTATTCCTTCCACCAATTTCATCACACTCCAGATGAGTACGTGTTAATGTCTTTCCCCAAGATTTGCTCTACCCCGAAAAATATTCAGAAGTAGGGCTGAAGATGTAGCTCAGTTAAAAGAGGTTTGCTGAGCATGCAGAAGGTTCCGAGTCCACCCCTCAGCACCACCTAAACTGGATTACACACTTGCAATTCCAGCCATTCAGGAAGTGGAGCCAAGGTTCACCATCATTATTAGCTACACAGTGAGCTCAGGAATAGCTCGAGCTACAGGAGACCATTTCTTTAAAAAATAAAAAAGTGCTTTTCAGAATACAGTATTATTATGATGATGATGATTGTTTCGAGACAGGGTTTCTCTGTAGCTTTGGAGCCTGTCCTGGAACTAGCTCTTGTAGACCAGGCTGCCCTTGAACTCACAGAGATCCGCCCGCCTCTGCCTCCCTACTGCCTGGCTCAGAGTACTTTAAAGAATGTTGTTAATCCCAGCACCCGGGAAGAGGCAGACAGCTCTCCATGAGTTTATGGCTAGCATGTGAATCCCAGGCTAGCACTGTCATATATATGGTTAGAATGTAATTGTTTGAGGCAAATGAGCTATACACATATATGCATACATGTGTGTGTTTCTTACCTGTCCATGTAGTATACACATATAAGCATTTGTCAGCAGAATTGAGAATTCTTCAATCACTTCTGTGGATGTGGCAGTGGGGAATTGAAACCTGAACCCAGTACACGCTAGGCAAATACCGTAACCACTAAGTACACATTTATGTGGCTGGTGAGATGGTGCTGTGGGTAAAAGTACATGCCTATATATTTACGTGGGCATAAGAGCATTTTTTTTATCTTACAGGTTATATTAAAAGAAAAAGTTAAAGAACTGAATTTACATGAGGTAAGTTGCTTTTAAGTATTTTAATCTTTCCTTGAGCGATTTTCTAGTACAAATGGTGTGCTTAAATACCTTCATTTTCAGAAGCTGAAAAAGATAGGCACCTCCCTCCTTCCCTCTCCCTGCAGTGACAATACCATAAGGCACATCATGTATTATCACTTACTCTTCTTGCCACTGTGACAAAACACCTGGCAGCACTTAAAGAGCGTTTATTTTTTATTTATTTGGTTTTTTGAGACAGGGTTTCTCTGTGGCTTTGGAGACTGTCCTGGGTCTAGCTCTTGTAGACCAGGCTAGCCTCGAACTCAGAGATCCACCTGCCTCTGCCTCCCAAGTGCTAGGATTAAGGGCGTGAGCCACAAGAGCATTTATTGTGGCTCACAGTTTGAGTATTCATTCAGCATGGTGAAGAGCTGGCAGCGAGCAAGGCTTGAGTGATTGTAGGTGCATGATGAACACTGATGCTCATCAGGCTTTCCTGCCCCTCCTCTCTTTATATTCAGTGTGGATACCCAGTCCATACTTAAGGTGTGTCTTCCTCCTCAGTCAGACCTCTCTGTAAACACCTAATATGTCCTAGGTGACTTCTAAAGGCCAGTCAGGTTGATGATGAGGCTTAACCCTTACACGAAGTCTTAAGATTTTTCAGGGGTTGTTTTTGAGATCGGTTCTTATTTGTAGCCCAGGTTGTCCTTGAATTGACAACAATCCTGCTTTAGCTTCCTAAGGGCTTGTAGGCACAACTCAACATGCCCACTTTAAGGACTGCATTTAATATTATTCCACATGTTGACTTTAACTACAAATGCCCAGGATGTGCAGCCTGATCCTCTCACTAGGAGCCTTAGGGAAGCCATAAGTCCTGTTGCTTAGCAGCTGAGCTTCAGGAACCCACACGTTTTGTGGTAGACACTGGCCTCACTTGTGACTTTGCCTTCCAGCTCTGTGCTGTGTGTTTAGAAGACTTTAAGCCTCGAGATGAACTGGGGATTTGCCCGTGTAAGCATGCCTTCCACAGAAAGTGAGTATTGTTATGGAATTATTTAATGTGATCTAATTTACTGTGGGCTGTGGGGCATTGCCAGCCAAGCTTGATGGCTTCATAATTGTCTGTAATGCAGAAAACTCACAGCACTCCACAGGGTGGGGCACACGCATGTGTACGTGACGTTAGGAGGAACCAGGGAAATGGAACGTGACCAACACTGCAGGCTTGGGCAGAGGCCCAGCCCACCCTACACCTCTATAAACAGTTCTTTAGCTGGAACTTTCCAACAACCGCTCCATCTCTTGAAGCTGTATTTTAATCAAAACCAGTTATTTTGTCACAATAAATAGTATGGATATATATGATGTTGTTGTAATGACACCTTCTACAGACACATACATAATTCCTTCTGGAAACTTTGGTTTGCTTTCCCTCATTAGCCTACTTAATAGAAAGTCACATGTGACCCAGAGTATGTGTTGGTTGTGGTACTTCTACGTTACCTTGTAGGAGACAAAAAGCTCTGGCATGTCAGAGGGTGATGTGGACGCTAGGGCTGAGTCCACCCCAGACTCCTTGCTTACTCTAAGTCTGGAGCTGATGTCTTCCACCTGGCTGTCTTGTTTGCAGGTGCCTTGTTAAGTGGCTGGAAGTCCGGAAAGTGTGTCCCCTATGCAACATGCCGGTGCTGCAGCTGGCCCAGTTGCACAGTAAACAGGACCGTGGTCCCCCTCAAGAGCCCCTCCCTGGGGCAGAGAACATTGTATAGCTCACTGAAAGGATCAGACTTGCTGGATACATCAGTGTGGAGCCAGGAGGAATTACAGCAGACTTTGTTTGGGCTGTTCGCTGCCTGGGGCATCCACTGTCACTTCCTTTGCCTCATGAAGAACTCTTGAGCCAGGCAAGCTGAGACCCTAGGCATCTGGATCTTGTGACAACCAAAGCACTCTGACATCACCCTAGGCCAAGAGGAGTAGATGAGCCTGCAGGTTTGGTTTCATAAATTTCCTGAGCATCTCTTGCTGTCTCCCAGGCACCTCCACATCAACCAGAAGGGAAGATAACACAGGTGTTAGAACTGAGAATGGGACTTTAATGCCACACCCACCTGTGGACCTGTAAGCAGCTGTGCAGACCTCACCTGTCTCTGCCCTCTTGGCATCCTGAGTCGTGAAACCAGCTGTTCCATCAGCTGAAGCACAACTGACTGCCAGTGTGTGGTGAGGCAGCCCCTGCAAGTCTCTTCAGGTTCTATCCCTTTAATAAGGCCTCTGGGAACCTGAAGACTATGGAACAGCATCAGCAGAACTCCTCGCCACACACACCAGTTGACACTTGCTGTCAGATCTTCCAAGTTGAAGCCATTAGACACACTTGGAAAGGCCTGGTCAGGAGCCATTCTTGTTTTCTCTCCTAGTCAGTCATCAGTAAGAAGCAGCAGGAGCTTGACCCTGAACCTCAACTGTCTTATATAACCCAGGAGCCAGGGTACTACTGCTTAAGTACCCCACAAATGCAGTACGATTCCATTATAGCTGCTGGCCTCAGATCACTGGCTAAGGAGTCTCTCTCGGCCCCTCAGATGGCTCCAAAGAGGAGCTGAGCTCCTTCCGCACCAAGGCCAGTCCTTACCCACCTGGATGGCCAGGACGCTGACACTTTGCTTCTCTCTTATCCTTTCACTCCCCTCCTCTCTTCTGCTTCTTTTCTATGTAAGAAAAATGTTACTGCATTTTTAAATGTTTATCCCAAATAAGCTCCCTGTAATTCTAAAGCCAGTGAGCCACCTGGAGTTGTAAATAGTTTGAGGACGCTCCTGCATGGCTGACCTTCTGTTGGTGTGTACCTCAGTTACTTGGACTTGAGATCGCTAACTGAAGGTGTTTTTATAGAGAAATGCATGCTGCTCTTTGGCTTTTCCTGTCCAACTTTTCTAGAGATAACTGTCTCCAAGAGGCTTTGTGGACACTGTAAATTAGCCATGTAAAGCACAGAACATTCTTTTACAGCTTGCTCTCCCCTCCCTCGTCACAAGAGTGCCACTGTAATGCCTCAACTGCTCTGCCCTGCTGTCCCAGTTATGGAGGAAGTTTTTGTAGGAAGTACAGCTTGGTATGAAGAGGAATGGGGGGAGAGGGGCTTGCTACTATGTTCTTACCATCTACCCAATCTTAGAATGAGAGGGAACCTGCCTTTGCCTCCAGTAGCTGAGGTCAGATGGGTAAGAAAAGTCCTGTCTAACAAGTGCTAAGGAAGCCAAATGTGGTACACACACCTGTATAGTCCCAGCTGAGGCAGGCAGGGTCACAAATTTGAGACCAGCCATTTGGAAAATTACAAATCTGCTTGGTGAGGATTGGCTGTCCCCAGTGTGTGCTCTATTTATGGCAGGCCAGCTGGATTCCTATACAGAGCAAAAGGTATGAACCATTTCTGAGAGTCTTAGTCTGACTGGCCCCTAGAATTCATGCCTATGTTCCTCTTGCTCCTCTGTTATGTTTGAAGCACCAGTCAAATACCCAGATACTCGTTTACAGTGAAATGTTTTCAGTGACCAATGCCAGAAGTGGGCTTCTTCTGGCCTAGTTTTGTTATAGGTTAGCATTCACCATTTAATATTGCGTAACTGGACACAGTAAGGAAATGTCCCCTTAAAGATCACCAAATGGTCAGTACTGTAAATTATTATCATTCACAGCTTTTGTAGAACCTTCAACTGGAACCTTTTCTATTCCTGTCCTTACTAGTAAAAAGCCAGCCTCACCAAAGCTCTGTCCAGACAGGTTGAGTAGATGATATGCAGTGGATAGTCAGGCTTTGGAAGAGTACTGGGGTGCTCTGCTCTGTATCAGGACACCCATTCTGCTGGGCCTGAATGAGGTCCCCTAAACGTTTCTGTTAATGTGACTGCTTCCTAAGAGACATTCCTTGGGCTGGAAGCTGCAACTGTGCAAAGTATGCTTCTCATCTCCCCTTCTTGGCTCAGTGGGTGATCACCTCCTGCAGCAGCCCCCCCCCCACACACACACACCTCCCTGTCATTCTGGCCCCTGTTGTCACAGCAACTCAACATTTAACACTGATGTCTGGGTCCCCACCAGTGTTCCCTGTACATCTGCATTTGGCTGAGCCATACTCTGCTCAGGCCCAAACCTGCAGTGAGGTAATTTCCTAAGTTTCTGGTAATATTTATCTAGGGTTGAAGATTTTGGTCTACTCTCAGACTATTTGAAATCTTGTCAGGTGTCTTAAATAGCTAGAGGATTAGGTGCTACTTGTGGGCCATGGGTTAGAACAAAAATCAGCCTAGCTGGACTTCATGCCATGATCATTGTTGCCTGGGAGCCGACTGAATTCAGCTGGCATAGAAATGAACAAACCTGCCCTGATCAAACTTCTGCTTGCGTCACTCTAACATGTAAGCTGACATCTGTGTTTCTCTGCCAGGTGTAATTTAGTTTGGTCTATCCCTGACCATTAAGGTTCTTGTAGCATGTACTTACCTAGCCAGGAAGCAGAAGAGCCAGGTAGGGACAGGTGACCTCTGGGTGAGGTCTATACTGAGGAATACAGGGGACCTCCCACCATTGCCAAATACTGTTCTCGACACGACTTGACAAAAGATCTTTTCCTTGGCTCTGTTCCAAAACATGCTATCTCTGGTTTCTAACAGCCACTCCAAGCTGTGCTGAACACCTACAGCACGTATTTTCTGGGAATCGGAGATCTCTGCAGACGTGCTTACGCTAGTTTGAATTGTCTACTCACTGCTAATTTGCTTTGTGCTTTTCTTCAGGTCAGCCTCTCAGCATCCTTTCCTTAGCCACCACCCAGGAATTGTAGCAAGGTTCCTAGAAGACATCTGTCAAGTTGGTGGGCACAGGCATGGGGGACAGGAGCTGCTGATGGCACATACCTTCCTAGTGATAAACTCAAGAACTTCCTGGACTGTGTCTTCCCCTGGCTCTGCTACAGTCAATATTTGAGACAGGTTCTATGTTCTCCCAGTTGTCATCAAACTGTAGCCTCAAAATCAAAGATCAGCTTCCTCTGCACCTGCTGCAAGGCGGGGCACCATGCCTGAGCTCCACATGCAATCTTGACTTGGTTGCTCAGTCTTCCTTTGAGTCTTTAAATAGGCAATTCTTCACAAAATTCACATATCACAGTAGTTGTCTTCCTTATAAAAAGCACTTAATTCATTATTTGTTCCTTTTGTCTCCCAGGGCGGGGCAGGACACATGCACACACTTGCATGCACACGTTGAGACTTTATAGAGACAGCCATCCCAGAATGTCTACATGAAAGGAGCAGACGTGGAAGTTGTTTTTTCATATAGATTCCTTACAGATCCGTCTAATAAAACAGCAGAGCTGATTTCCCTACTCTCTCCAGGATGACAGTCTTCCCCCTAGCACTAAACAGTTTCTTCAGGTGCCTGACCAGCTGCCTTTCAAGTCACTTTGGTACAAGTTGGTCCTCAGGGCTAACAGTCATTACATCTAAGTGTCTACAAATGAGACACCACAGAAGCAAATGCTTCCTACAAAATGCCCCCCTCACCCAACTTTCTGATTAACAGAAATCACTCCTAAGTTCATTTTTGCCATCTCCTAAGGTAAAAATTAAAGCAGCCTCCTCTAGGCAACCATAAGGGAGAGCAGACATGTGCCTTGCTCTTCAGCATCCACCACCCAAAGTTCTTTCCCACTCACCCACCTGTTTCCCTGCCCAAGCACAGCCCAGTGAGTAAAGTGTCCCTGTGCTCACCCAAGATGAACTCATCCATCATGCGACCTATAGCCTGGCTAATTGCTTAAGAGCAGATGCTGATCTTCCAAAGGACCCAGGTTCAGTTCCCAACACCCACGTGGTGGCTCAGTTTCAATTCCTGGAGATCTCTTCTGGCATTTGAGACGCCAGGTATACACACACATACATTCAAGCAAACACTCATACACATAAAAGTCAATTTTTTAAAAAAATTACCAAAAATGGAAGCATCACAGTATCTAACTAAATCTTAGAGATGAGGACCTGAAATGCCAAATAAAAGCTTTTTAATAAAATTAACAGGACTTGGGTACACTAATTGAGTCAAACACTAGCCCGTTTTCAAGTTCAGCTTTAGAACTCAAATTGCTTCAAGATGCTTTTATTCTAGTTAGACTAAGCAAGTATCCACAAGAGTCTTAGTTCCTTTGTTCACACGGTCAGGGAGAACACCCTTGCTGTTTCAAAGGCACGATATAGCTAAGAACATGGACCCACCAGTGTTAAGGGACTTGCATGGTTGAAACCTCAGCACCACCTACTCCACTCCAGCCTGGCTGATGTGGAGAAGCAGGACATCTTCCTGGTGATGGCCTGGAACTGGTACCTCTGGGTCTCTTGACAAGTCATTGCCAGGAAAGTAGGGGAGTGGCACTTTAGTCTTGTAGTTTAGCCCTTTGGGGCTTATTTACTAGATATAACTCCCTCAAAAAGGTTTATGAAATGCTGAGCCTCAGGTTTCATAGACTGTTTGTACACTAAGAATTCTGCAGCAGAATATTTTTAAATATTGGTTTTTGTAAGCTATATTTTTGTATATTTAATTGCTATTTTAAAACTTTAATGCATTTTTTTGCTAATCACTTGTTAAAAAAATAAAACATGCATGTAATTGACCCAAACACATGTAAATAAAGGGCAGATTTTGAAATACTTTGTAATATGTACCTGAAACGGTGAGCATGAAACGGACAGACTGAACAACCTCTGACCTATCCTCCTTCAACATGGGGTAAGGTGGGGAAACCACACCAGGCCTCAGTGACAGCAAGAAGCCAGACCACACCATCCATTCCTATAGTGACTAGTCACTTGGGGGTGACTTGATGTACAGCTTTGTCCTTGGATAGCACACAACACTCCTACTACTTGCCCCGACCTTAACACTCAAAGTTCTATAAACATAGCTGCTTTCCTCTGCTAACACAAGGCAGTGAGCAGCTCTCTGCTGCCCAGCTCCAGCCCATGGCTTCACCATGGCAACCTTGCAACCAACCCTTCTATGCCTTCTATCAAGTACCTGTTGAGCACTTTGCTCTCTGACCCCCAGGACCTTTGACCTCAGGTTGTTTTCCCTACAGCCTGTTCCTTCACTACTCATCTCTACCTCATTCTCATGTTCTGGGGATTCACTGACACCTCACATTCCCGCCTATTCACATCTTCTACTTGGTCTCTTCTTCAAATGCCCTCATGCTCTGGGGATTATCAAAACCAGGTACTCTGAAATCAGCCCTCAGCACCTCCTGGCTCACCTGCATACATCCAGCCATTGGGGCTTCTCCCATCTTCCATCTCAGTTCAGGCTACTTTCTCTGTGCTTCATGACAAGCCCTCCTTTCTACCTGAGTGGGAGGAGTGAGATGGAACTTTTGGTCACCAAAGAAACTACCTGAACTGGACAGAGAAGACAAGATGGTTCCAACAGCCACTGGGTGCAGTTCACAGGTCAGGTGGCCATAAAATGTGAGGTGTACATTTCTGCAGATAGTGCTAGGACCACAGCTGCTAGGGAAGCAGGTTAGAACTGCGAAGATGAGGCCCTGAAAACAACTTTTACAATGGAGTTGTACTAGTGGTGCACACCTATAATCCCAGCACTTCAGATGTGGAAGCAACTAGATCAGCAGTTCAAAACCAGCCTCAGCTATACTACAAGTTTGAGGTTAGCCTGGACTACAGGAGACGCTGCCTCAAAAAATAAAAGAACCGGGGCTGGAGAGATGGCTCAGTGGTTAAGAGCACTGCCTGCTCTTCCAGAGGTCCTGAGTTCAATTCCCAGCAACCACATGGTGGTTCACAACCATCCGCATTGAGATCTGGTCCCCTCTTCTGGCCTGCAGGCAGAGCACTGAGAATACTGTATACATAATAAATAAATAAATCTTAAAAAAAAAAAAAAAAGAGCCCCACTACATAAAAAAAAAATAAATAAAATAAAAGAACCCTTCATGGAGTGACACTGGGCTGAACACAATGAGGAAAGAGAACAGACCAGTAATGGGAAGTGCAGAACAGTACCACTGCTGTGTGACCTTGAGGCTTGCTTTTCTGAGCTAGTTTCTTTTGGTTTTTTTAAGACAGGTTCTCTCTGTAGCTTTGGATCCTCCCCTGGAACTAGCTCTTGTAGACCAGGCTGGCCTTGAACTCACCACAGAGATCCTCTTGCCTCTGCCTCCCAAGTGCTGAGCTAGTTTAAGACAATAATTATGAATACAAAGCACTAACTGGTCACAACTGTCAAATAGCCAGGGTGCAGACAACACAGCTCAGGTGTTTAGTCAGCCAGCCCAGAGTAGTAGTTAAGTTCACAGGAGTCACTCAAGGAGGTGGTAGGGAAACGTAGAAGCCTGCTATGAACGGAAAAACTTCCTGGTACTAGTAGTAGATAGTCAGTTTTGAGGAGTCTTAGCCATCCCTGGAGCCCCATGTACTGTGCTGTATAAGGCCCCAGCCCAATGGCACCAGAAGTCCAATGGGCCAAAGCACCTGTTAAAAGGCAGCTGTCCCTCTGGGAACTGGGAACCATCAAGCAGGGTAGCCAGCCAGTCAAGTCCATCCCCTGAGTTACCATGGTCCGAACCAACAAGAGCCTTCTGTTGCCCAAAAGCTGGCATCAGAACCCATAGCTGAGAATGGCAGAAACATACTCCTAACCAGAGCCTGAGGTATCCATTCCAGCAGCAAGGCTACTGTGAACAGGCCCTTCCTTGCCTTCAGCTACAATCCAGACCTCTCTTAGTTTGTACAATATGAAAGCAGGGAAAGCTTCTTAAATTATTCTACATGGAAGAAAGGCCCAGTCCCTATCAAGAGTGGCTTGTGGCCTGTCCATCTCCCCACAAGAACCCCACATGCTGAAGAAGGCGAGTTATTCAATAAACTGTCCCTCCTCTGCACTCAGTATGAAAGGATAAGCACTCTTCCTGCCTATCTGCACTTCCCCCAATCACCTACCCAAAAGAATTCTACCAGAAGTCTTGTCTTTCCACATAGACCCAAGGGTTAAGAGTATAAAGAACAGGAAGTGCCCTTCTAAAATCCATGAGCATTGGGTGCAGAACAAAACCCACTTTGTAGAGCCTTAAATAAACCATTTTCAGTATGTTAACATAGAGGCTAAACATGAGCCAGAATGTGCACAGAAGACTATCTCCAAAGGCATCCTGATTTCACCAGGACAAACAGTCACCTGCTGCTGACAAGTACAGACAGCTCTCCACTGCATACATAGCAGCTGATATTGGGAGTTCAAAGCACCTTGGAGTTAATAGTGCTAATCTGAAGAACAGCAGCTTATTTTGTTGTTGTTGTGTTGTTTTGTTTTTCAGAAAGGGTTTCTCTAGTTTTGGAGCCTGTCCTGGAACTAGCTCTTGTAGACCAGGTTGGCCTTGAACTCACAAAGATCCTCCAGCCTCTACCTCCCAAGTGCTGGGATTAAAGGCATGTGCTACCACCTATAACAGCAGCTTATAAGCAGCAAATCTTCATACTGTCTACACAGGGAAAGAAAAAAATTCTTTACTGGTTGCTAGATTAGATAAAATTTTAAGAATTTATCTTGATGACTTAGAAAAATACATTTGTTTCTTGCTCTGATTTGGGTAGTACACGATCATAAAACGTCTCTTAAAAAGAAAAAAAAAAAGGTCCATAGATGCCCCTGTGGTAGGTTTCAGGAAGTCCTCCGAGTAGCAGTCAGGGTATCTTCAATAGCTCAAGGAGTGCACCAACGGCTCCAAAATAACCCTGAAAAAAATAATACACCACAAGTAAGATTTATTTTAAAATATGCATAGGGAGTGTGAGTATAGGTGCATAGAATCCAGGTGTCAGATTGCCTGGAGCTAGAGTTAGACAGTTGTGAGCCACCCAACATGGGTGCAAAGAACCAAATTTAGGTCCTCTGCAAGAGCAATGTGTGCTGTCAACCACTGGATTATCCCTCCAACCCCATGAGGTCATTTTTAACTCCTACAAGTATAATGTTAGATAAGGCTAGCATATTACTTTAACACCTGACCCATTTGTTTTCTGAGCACAGAGAGCACATGCAGTCAGGAAAAGCCCTAAAGAACTCTTTTTCAGAGAGGGGATGGCAGGATGCTGGAAATGCCCAACAAGAAGAGTGGACACTACAGCAGCTGAGGGAAGAAAGGCTCAGATCTGGCAAGGATTTTATTCTGTTTTTGTTTGTTTTTTGTTTTGTTTTGTCAACTTGAAACAAGCTAGAATCATCTGGGAAGAGGAACTTCAATTGAGAAAATGCGTCACTTCTAGTTAGGCTAGCCTGTAGGCAAATCTATTTGGCATTTTCTTGATTAGTGATTGGTATGGGAGGGCCCAACTCAGTGTGGGCAATGCTGTCCTGGGGTAGGCAGTCTTGGGCTCCATAGAAAGTAGGCTAAGCAAGCCATGAAAAGCAAGCCTTGTAAGCAGTTTTTCTCCATGGCCTCTGCATCAGCTCCTGCCTCAAAGTCTCCACCCAGTTTGAGTTTCTGCCTTAGCCTTCCTCAATGGACTGTTACCAGGGATATGTAAGCCAAATAAACCTCTCCTTCCCAAGCTGCTTTTGGTTATAGTGTTTATCACAGCAATAAAACCCTAACAAAGACAGATGGTGGCTTTCCTATCCTGGAGCAAAGGCCTGGACACTTCCAACAGCCAAAGACTGATGCTGAGAGGCTTAATCACAGAGGACAAGAGCCTGACTGGTCTGAACGAAGGGGGAAGTGGAAAGGGTCCAAACCTATTGGTACCTGTTCAGAGGGGAAAACCTGGCCTACAGAGTTCCAGACCAGCCAGGCTACAGAGTGACACCCAGTTTAAAAAATAGAAATTAAAAAAAGATACATGCCTTACTATCTCCAACAGTAAGGAGTGGGCTCAAACAGGAACCTGAAACCAACCAAAAACCAAAGGACAAAAAAATATTGAGACTAAACCCTCACCAACAGAAGGAGACAGCAGCAGGAATCAGAAGAATCATACAAAGGACAGACTATATCCGTCTCCAAGCAGGAGGTTAGCAATTAAAGTACTGTAAGAACAAACAACTGAACTGGGCTGTGGCTCAGTTGCAGACCATCAGGCCAGAACATAAAGTCAGGGTTAAATCCCCAGAGCCACCCAAAACAACAATAAAATTGAAAGGAAACAGAAAAATCTTCAAGTTCAGGTGGTGGATTCTAAAGAACACACTAAATATTATATCTAAAAAGGTCCCTGTCTATTTCTCAGTTTTTGTTTGTTTATTTTTGTTTCTCAAGACAGGGTTTCTCTGTGGTTTTGGAGTCTGTCCTGGAACTAGCTCTTGTAGACCAGGCTGGCCTCGAACTCAGAGATCACCCTGCCTCTGCTAGGATTAAAGGTGTATGCCACCACCACTGCCCAGCTAACAATTTCTTTCTAATATAAAACAAAATAAAATAGGTCACGTGTAAACTAGCAGGTAAAGGCACTTGTCATCAAGTCTGTCAACCTAGAACCAACATGGTAAAAAGGAGAACTGAGATACTCTTTGACTTCAACATAGCATGAGCCTGCCCAATGAACACATGTGCATAAGCATGCATATAGACAGACAGAAAGACACACACACACACACACACACAGACTGTAAAGTACTAATAAAAAAAAATAAAACTAGACCAAGCTTGATGTCGCACGCCTTTAATCCCAACACTCAGGAGGCAGGAGAATCTCTGAGTTCAAGGCCGCCCTGGTCTACAAAGCAAGTTCCAGGACAGACAGGGATACAATAAGAAACCCTGTCTCAGAAAATAAATAAGTAAAAGTTAGATGACTTAAGCTTTAATCTTTCTGATGAAAGGATGTGTGTACTTTGGATTTTAATTATGAACTATGCAATTGTTAAAAGAACTTTTATCAAGTCATAAAACAATTATGCACATATTAAAATCTCATTAATGTTTGTGGTAACATTATCATCTAAGCTCCAATAACATATGAACTAAAACAACTACCCACCCACCAAGGGGAAGAAAGAGAAACACCCATCCATGGCTCCTGTCCAATTGTTCCCAAACCGGGAAGAAGAGGGAGAACTCTTAAGACAGGAGTTCCTGTTGAGCAATCCCAACTCCTCTCCACTTTTGCTTCTAGCTGTCTGCGTATTCTATTCTCAGTATAGTGTGGCTCCAGTGTGGAATGCCTTTATTACCATCCATTCATTTCTAGAACATACATATGTAAATGACATTTCACATTAAAAAGCAGAACAGATGGCTTGTTTAGAGACATACAGGGCAATGTTCATCAGTATTACCTTCCTTTGGGCCTAATGGTATAGCTGAGTGACAGAACCCTTGCCCACCTAGTAAAAAGTCCTGGGTTTAATCTGATACCAAAAAAAAAAAAAAAATCCCCCTTTAAAACCACTTAGTTAAACTCACAAGCATGGTAGCTCATGCCTATAATCCCAGCACTGGGAAGCAGAGGTTAGGGAGACTGTAAAAGTTCAAACCAGCCTGATGTATACAGCAAGTTCCTGGACATCCACTACATAGGAAAGACCTGTTTTAAACAACAACAAAAAAAAAATGCTTAAACTAAACTAAATGAACATATACCTCGTTACATTTGGTAAAAAAACAGTTTTCAGAAACAACAAGTCCAAGGCCACTGCAGTCAGAACAGGACCACTGCAGCCCAGGTCAGTCCCTTACCTCGTGCTCCGAAAACAGTGCTTTCAGCTGCCCCTTGGACCAGTAATCCAGAGCATACGCCAGAAGTCGCATGGCGATTGTGTTGACTCTCAGGAAATTGCCGACAAATACAACCTGGTTAATGTTCTGAGCACAGAAAAGTGGCAGTGAGTTCACACTCTGATTTTTGTTTTCTCATAAAGCTACACCCATAGAGTTTTTTCAGAGCAACTTGACTGGATCAAATTCAATCCAAATGGTTCATATCTAGTAAGATTTGATATTCAGACAATTATGGGCTCACCCAAACTTGACCCATGAAAAGATTATGAAAGAGAGTGTGTTAAATGTGATTAACAAGGAAAACTTAACAGTAAGCTTTTTTTTAAAAAAAAAAAAAAAGTAGAACCCCCGATGATTGATTTTGTCAATCTGATTAGATTAAGACATTAGGGCAGTAGTGAGGCACAACTTCAGGCTTGTGAAGGCACTTACAGAAGGGGAGGGGGAGCACTCTGAGGGAAAAGTCATCTAAGCACCAGCGTTCCCTCTCCCCTCAGGCCTAGTCCACCCACTGTGATCAGGAGCCTCACATTCACACTGCCACAGTACAAGCATTTCCTACAGCCATTCCTTCCCCACCATGAATTCAAGTAAAACTTTCTTCCCCTAAGTTGCTCTTGCCAGGAATTTGGTTATAGCAATAGGAAAAGAAATACAGAGGGCCGGGGAGATAGATAAGGTGCTTATTTTGCAAGCATGAGGGAGAACCTGAGTCAAATCCCAGCACTTGAAAAAAGCCAGACTGTCAGCACCAGGAGTCCAGGACAGGTGAGAATTTACTTCAAGACAAGAAGATATAAAAAAATAAAGGAAAACATGCAGAGTTGTGCTTTGGCCTCCATAGACATGAGCAAGGGTATGTACATCTGCACAGTCACATGTATAAGAAGAGAGAGACGGAGGCACAGAGAGGAGAAAAGAAGAAAAAAACGAAGAGAAAGGAGGGAGGGAGAGGAGAAAGGAGGGGGGCAGAGAAAAAAAAGGAGGGATATCTTTCTTAAGAAAACAGAAAAGCAACACAGAAAACTGGCACCAATAGGCCAGTGAAATAGTATGCTATAGTAAAAAATGCTTACCTCAAAGCCTAATGACATGGGTTCAATTCCCAGAATCCATACAAAGGTAGGACAGATCCAATGCCACAAGTTGCACTCTAACATCCACAAGCATGCCTTGATACATGGGCACTCCACCCCATATAAACAATAATAATTACATTTTTAAAGAAACTGGTACCAAGAAATGAGGCCATTATTGTGACAGCACCGACTGTGGTACAAAGGCCTTCTGGACCGCAGGAGGGATGTAAAGAGGCTTGGGATCTGAAGACGTGAAGACTTCACATCAAGAGATGTGAAAAATGGGCAATTTGAAAGAAAGGAGCATGAATCCAGGTAAATGATTCTAACTGTTAGAGACTATTGCCATTACAGAGAAACCAGGGGTAGTGCTCCAAGACAACAGAAAGATACCCTGAGGTTAAGACCCCCACAAAAGTGCAAACTTATTTGAAAAACTTGCATTTAAAAGAAGACTGAACAAGTAACGACATCTTGCTCTAAAAGGGCTGCAGACACTCAGAGACCTGTCACTATTAAAAATGAGGCACGGCCGGGCAGTGGTGGCGCACGCCTGAAATCCCAGCACTCGGGAGGCAGAGGCAGGTGGATCTCTGTGAGTTCGAGGCCAGCCTGGTCTACAACAGCTAGTTCCAGGACAGGAACCAAAAGCTATAGAGAAACCCTGTCTCAAAAATCAAAAAATAAATAAATAAATAAAATAAATAAAAATAAAAATGAGGCACAGCTATATCTGGAGTTGAAGGCAGGAGGCAGCAGTGATTCTACAAGGTACTGCAGTGCAGGCATCACAAACTCAGAGCTGGGCTGGTAAAATGGTAAGGACACTTGCCTGATAAGTTGAGTTTGATTCAACATGTTGGAAGGATAGAATCAATTCCCAAAATCTATCCTCTGATTTAACACAACCTCTGACATGCAAGCACAAACACACACCCACTAAATAAATAAATAAATATTTGTTAAAAGATCCAAGAGCCATGGAGTCTCTGAAGTTTGCACCACGGTTCCAAAAAGCTAATGGGACCAAGTAACATGGGATGGGGTTGAATTCCCTACAAGGAGGCTCCCAGAGGTGACTATGTGAAACAGAGAAGTCCTTAAGTTGCAATGTAGACTCTACAATACTGAAGATGCCAGGAGCATGGGGTATTTGCCAAGGAAAACTGGAGACTCCATGTAAAGTCAGCTCAAGAGAAAAACTACAACTGCCACCAACAACAGCTGGAAGAGAACTATGAAAGCCTGTCCAAGCCTAAATGATGTCATCATGAGCCCCGAGTGATGGTCATGGAGCTGTGAAGGTTGACGTTTATCCTATTATTCTGTTACACAGTTCCTCCCTTACAGGATGGAAACGTTTACTCTGCCTCATCATACTGTAAGTTATACTCTACATCTTGATTCGTATAGAATCTCACCATTATGAGATTATGGTAAGTCTCAGAACCAACTTTGTTTTGCTTTGTTTCCTAAGACAGATTCTCACTACACAGCCTCAGCTGGCCTGGAAATCACACTAGACCAGCCTGCCTTGAAATTCAGAGATCTGCCTACCTCTGCTACCTGAATGCTGGGTTTCAAGGTATGGTTCTCCATGCCCAGCTTCAAAACCAAACTGCCTTACTAAAGTAAATAATGTCGTACTCATGCAAACAACTCCAAATTAAGTGCAGTGGGCCATAAACAACAATTAAAAAAAAAAAAGACATGAGGTAGGTAGGGGGTTGGGGAGGAAAAGGGAGGAGTTCGGAGGAAGACAAGGTGAAATGTTAGATTTAAGTGAGGTGTTTAGGTGACAAGCTGACAGGTAATAAGCTGAGATGGGCAATAATAATTGTCAGCATAGCTGGAGTAGGAAGCTTCAGTGAGGCACACCTTTAGCCACGTCTAGGAGGGCATTTCCAGAGGGGTGATTAGAAAAGACTCGTCTACACCATCCTACAGACTGAAATGTCCGCTGTTTCCTGGCATATCCAGATGTAAATGAGCAGCTGCACTCTACAAGTTCCTCCTTCCCTACCACGACAGACTGTGGGCCAACACAAATAAACTTTGCTCCTAAGTTACTGTTGTCAGGTATTTGGTCAAGGCAGAGAAGGTAACTAACTAAAAAGAGGGCTTGGCACAAAGAAGCAAATTATATGCAAGGTAGTGGCAGCTAAAAACAATTCAGCTTCAGCTATGAACTAAGGGAAGCAGAATCTTAGGGCAGTTTATAATAAAGTCTACCTGAAATTCCACCCCCAAATTCAGTAGTCCAATCATCAATGCTAAGGATGCTCAAAATGGGTACAACCCTGTGCAAAACTGTTCAGCAATCTCTATCAGGATCCATAAGTACAAAACTGTTCAGCAATCTCTATCAGGATCCATAAGTACAAAACTGTTCAGCAATCTCTATCAGGATCCATAAGTACAAAACTGTTCAGCAATCTCTATCAGGATCCATAAGTACAATCATAATGTAGGATGATCACAACGGTCACTCCCAAGTCAGCCCTGTGTCATGAATAAAAGAGCCAAAGAACAAGTTCATACTTCAAAATACTTACCTCAGTCACCACTTTCAAGAAACCAAATGCCCAGCTCTATTTGAATAATGACAAAATAAGAACCTGATCAAATATATAGCTATGAACTAGGGACCCACGTAGTCAGTAGAGTGTCTGCCATGCAAGTGTGAGGTGCTGCGTTGAATTCCCCAGAATCCACCTAAGAAAGCAGGGGCAGTGGCAAGTTTATAATCCCAGCACTTGCGAGGCAGAGAGTCAGATCCCAGGGACTCACTGGCCAGCAACCCTAACCTAATCAAGTTCCACTCAGTGAGAGACCTTGTCTCAAAAATTAAGGAGACCCAGGCATGATGGAGCACACCTTTAATCTCAGCACTAGGGAGACAGAGACAGCCAGATCTCTAAGAGTTTGAGACCAGCTGATCTTGATAGCCAGTTTGAAAAAAAAAAAAAAATCAAAAAAAAAAAAAGATGGGGGCTGGAGAGATGGCTCAGAGGTTAAGAGCATTGCCTGCTCTTCCAAAGGTCCTGAGTTCAATTCCCAGCAACCACATGGTGGCTCACAACCATCTGTAATGAGGTCTGGTGCCCTCTTCTGGCCTGCAGGCATACACACAGACAGAATATTGTATACATAATAAATAAATAATAAAATAAATATTAAAAAAAAAGATGGACAGAACCAGAGAATACCTTAGGCTGTCATCTGACCTTCACAATTGCACACAAACATGCACTCACACACACACACACACACACAAGTCAGCCACAACTACACAAGCACACACATGCACTTACACACACACACAATTCAGCCACAAACCATATATTTCAGGTTAAAAATATAATGTATGCACATCAATTAAAAAAATTTTTAAATACTTAAGCACAGGTAAGAGAACATGCGATAAAGGGTAAAATAATGTTACTCAAATGAAGTACTTTTTAAAATCTGGTATATAGTTTCTTCTAAACTAAAATTAAGCAAATCCTTTGGGCCTTGAAATCTCTTTTTAAGGTACATGTCTATATTATTTAAAGAATAATTTTAAACCAAAGTGTGTAAATAGGGACAAGCCATAAAGCTGTACCAACTGGATCCTAGATCTCTTGTCCCTGAGGGCAGCCCATTCTTGGTTCTTTCATAGCCCTGTACAATGCTGCTTGACCTGAATGCTACAAGGCAGCACTGTAAAGAAGCTGAAAGCACGAAGACAGCTCTGCTGAGGTGGAGGGGACCAAGGCGGGCTTCCTCTGACCGCTCAGTCTTCGCCCAGCTTCAGTGGCTTCCTGCGAATTCCTTTCCACACCTCAACAGCACCCAAAAACACAGCATCCAGATTCAGCATTGTTACCCATCATTCACCCCACTCCCCAGTTAATTCTGGCTTCCTTTCTGACCCCCTTCTACTTTCTCCTCAAAAGAATTCATTCACCTCCAACAGCAGCAATGTTTATCTTCAGGAAGAGAAAAGGTGTGTGTATGGGGAGGAGGTGTCAATGAAGATGAATCTGTTCCTCAAGAATAAAGTTCATATTTAAAGTCTACCCCCATGTAACTACATTTGGGCACTACCGTAAGAAGATAGACACGGTGTAAGGCCAAGGTGGGACCCATTTAGGAAAGTCATCATTTCCCCTTAGAGAAAAGAACAATCTCATGCCCTTACTTCGTTAAGGGCACACATTCTTGCTATGGAGCCAATGTTGTTGGTGATAGTGATCAAAGTTGCTCTGGCGAGGTCCTCCTTACTGGCAGCTTCTCTCTTCTCCTTGCTCATCATGTTTCCAAAACTGAGGTAGAGGAAAAAAAATATCATTGGTGAAACAAAGGCAATACAGTCCAAGAGAACTTCAAAGTTACTTTACTATGATAAAATGACTTTACAATAAGCATTTCCATTTTTTATTACAGAATGATAGAAGTATCTACTGAAGAGAGCTCAGCTTCAAACAAAAGTTCACAAAGCACTCTAAATGAGAAGGTAACTTGCCCTGTCTTCTACTAAAATTCAACTTTGGTACCAGATAGTTCCCTATCCAAGTAGCATCCTACAGACCCACTGGGAGGCAACACTGCCTGATCTGCCACCAGGGCTCCAGGAAGACATCTCTTACCAGCAGGGCATCCCTATGTGCAACTGTTCCACTCAGATGGTCACAGTAATATCTATTATAGAAAACTCATTTTATCAGCATAGAGTACAAAACAGCTGAACTCCACAGTGAGCTACTAAAGTACATGGTTGCTCTAGAAGTTAAATAAAAGACTTCCAAATTTATTGATCAGCAAAAGTGCTGCATTAGTAATTATGACCCAAATCCAAGAATAAGAATAAGGAAGTAATCAAGACCAGTGATCAAATGCTGCAAACAAAACAGAATCTACAGCATTACTCAGCAAATACCTGCACATGAATGCCTTTTCTATTATTAAAAATCAAGTGTTCTGCTGTGCATGGTAACTCGCACCTTTAATACCAGCACTTAGAAAGCAGAGGCAAATAGATCTCTAAAGAGTCCAAGGCCAGTCAGGGTTACATAGTGAGACCTTATTACCTCAAAAACAACACACATGTACTTTAACACACACACAAAAAAAATTACAACCCCAAGGGGGCTAGAAAATGGCTCAGTGGTAGGAGCACTGGCTGCTCTTCCAGAGAACCCCTTCAATTCCTAGAACCCACATGTCAGTTATAACCATGTATAGGTCAATAATTTCAATCCCAGGGAATCTGATGCCCTCTTCTGGCCTCTGCGGGTACCTGGCACACCCATGGTGTACAGACGTACCTTAGGCAAAATATTCACACACATAAAAGTAATTTTTTTAAAAAAATTACAACAAACAAAATAAAATTTAGACAACCCCCAAGCTGAGCAGGGTAGTACAGGCCAGCATCTCAGCACCTGAAAGATGAAGGGAGACCTGGGCTACACAGTGAAATCCTGTCTCAAAAACAGAGGAAGAGTGAGCAAAGACTTCCATTTTTGATAGAATTGCAGAGAACTAAATAGAAATATACTTAACAAAAGAAATATAATGCTCGTGTACTAAAATCTTTTGCAGTTAAAAGACAAAACCATGTAAGTAAATGGAAAGAAGCCCATCTTCCTAAACCAAAGACTTGACAGTGTTAAGTTGGTAATATTCAGGTCTACAGAGATAGTGGCTAAGAGCACTTGCTTACAAAGACCCAGGTTAGATTCCAAGCACCCATACAGAGGTTCAACGGCTCACATTTCCAGACTGATATCCTCTTCTGACCTCCATGGCCATCAAACAGATACTGGGTTCACATATATACATCCAAGGGAAACACACATAAAATTTAAACATAATAATTAAAAATAAAAGTTGGCAATACTCCTCGATCCGCTGGTCAATAGATTCAACACAGTCCCTATCAAAATCCCAGCTGTCTTCTTTTATAGATACTGCCAAGTTCATCTTATAGTTCATACAGAAAGTCAAGAAATTCAAAATAATCTTGGAAAGGAAGAACAAGTTAGAGGGCTGTATCCTGTATGTTTACTACTTCCCCCTTAGTACCAGACTGTAGTAAACAAGGGAATGCCATACTGCTCTAAAGACAAATATACAGAACAGAAGAAAATTAAGAATCCAGAAATAAAACCAAACATCTAGAGTCAACTAATATGACAAAGAGCTCCAAAGAATAGGGAAAGAACACTTCAGAGATGAAGTGAAAAACACCATGCAAAAGGGACTATGGAGCTCTATTAATGTACCATACTGAAAAGCTAACATAGACTGGGTCTTAGACATAAATGTCAAAGCCCAAACTATAAAACTCTTAGAAGTTAATCTTCACATCTTGGATGGGGAAAATGTCACTAAAAGCACAAGAGATAAACACATAAATAAGAGCCTTTACCAAAATTGCAAGCTTCTGGTGGGGTTTGATAGCACTTACCTACAACCCCAGCAATCAAGGGGCAAAGGTAGAAGGAGAAACAAAAACCTGAGGCCAGCAAGAACCACACGATGAAATCCAGTCTCAAAAAGCCCAAATAGGCTACAGGTGTGGTCTCGATTGCTTGCCTAGCACAGATGGGACCTACACAGGATTTCTAGCACTAAATAATCTGGATGTCAGTACTCAGTACTCAGAGACACAAAGTCAGAACATAACAAGGTCAAGGCCAGTCTGAGATACAGGAGACCTTGCCCCCACCACCTACCCCCCAAATTAGAAATTTATGTACTGTAAATACCATCAAGGAAGTGAAAAGAAAAAAGGGGGCGGGGAGTATATCAATTATGTGTATCATGCATATATAATATATACATTATATATATAAAAGAAGTTTTAGCTACAACACATAAAGACTTCTTTAAGCTTGGCCAAGCAGTAATAGCAAGGCAGAGAGGCAAGCAGGTCTCTGTGAGTCTGAGGTCAGCCCTGGGGCCGGGGAGGGGGGGGGG